CACAAGCGATTATGATTGATCCCACCAACAAAGAGTTTCAACAAAAACTCAAGGAGGTGACCACTTTATAGGGTTGATCTCCGGAATTTGTTAATGATGCACTTGCAGTTACAAGAGAGGATGAAATGTTTAGATATTACGCTAAAATTGGGAAGAAAGAAGAAAAGAGGAAGTTAGGGAAAAAGGGGAAAAGAAAGGAAAGAGATGGAGGTGGAGATGGTTGTGTTCTTAGGTGTATTAGTGTAAGAGATATCACCAAAAAGGAAAAGGATGTTGCTGGCAAATCTTTGAATTCAGAAGAGGGTAAAGTTAACCCTATCGATCCAGATCATAGGCCCAACATTATTGATAACAATTCTGATCTAAAGTCAGCTTCAGAAACAAAAAACCCAAATCTTACTGGGTCAATTATCGGTTTTGTAACCGAAAACGTATTGATTCCTATTTGCATCTCACTCCAGTAATGTATGGAGCGATTTCTAAGGGATGAACACTACACTATTATTGCTCTTCTAAGAAGGATTTTATTAGCATTCGAGTACTCGATCCTCCAAAGAAGATGGATTATGTTAAAGCTCAAGAAGTTTTTACACCGATGGAGATTAGTCACCCTCCTGTGAAAGGGCATGATAGGTGTGAAACAACTCCAAATTTGGCGCAAGATTCGACCATAGATATGGTTGATCAAGTGTCATCATGTGAAAGTACGTCGGTGCCCCTTCCAGTTGCTCCAGTCTGCTCCCCATTGAAGTCTGCTGCAAGCCACAACAATTCCTCTTCTCAGAATTTGATGTTATTGGTTTCCTCTCGTCGTTTGAGAACTAGAAGGAAAAGTCATTCTCTAAGAAGTTTAACTTCCTCTGCTTTTACTAACTCTTTGTTTTGCAGGATGAGTGGCTCAAAAAGGAAAGTGTTCTACCCCACCGAAATTGTATGGCTTTCGAATAGAAAGTTGTTATATGGTTCTACCCCTGATGTTCTAATGTGTACTTTAGTTTATGATTAATTTAGGATTTTGCTATTGTCAAAAATAAAAAAATAAAAAAAAAAAAAAAAAAAAAAATAATAATAATAATAATAATAATAATAATAATAAATTTTAAAAACGTCATTAAGTGGGCTAACTTGTTTTAGCATTAAAAATTTTAGGGCTTTTTTTTACTTGTAACACCACAAAAAAGCTCAAAAATGGATTATTATAACACCACCAAAAAAAAATTAAAAACTTTTAGTATAACATAACAAAAAAAAAACCAAAAAATGAATTTCACCCCCACTTAACGGATTCTTGGATGGAATCTGTTAAGTACAATCCACACTATCACATGTCACTGTAGGTTAAAATAAAGAAGAATTAAAAAAAAAAATAACAACTCAAAATTAACTTCAGGCCCTAAACCGGCCGATTTCAACCGTTAGTGGCCATTTTTGGTGGTGGTTAAGGTTTAAGAAGTTGTGGGCTCGAGGTCGAACGGCGTGGCCAGTGGACGATGGGGTTTGTCGGGCTGGTTGTGGAGGGTGGAGGTGACGGGGTGAGCATTGGTGGTGGCTAGGCAGTAGTTGGGGGGTAGTGCCGGTGGTAGGATGTAAGGGCTACCGGTGGTGGGCCTGGTGGCTGGGTTAGGTTTTTAGTTATTTTTTTCTTTTTTAAAAAAAAATTATCCTTTAGATTAGTGACACGTATACTTGGTGGGGTCCACTAATGGTTTTTTGGATGACATCCATTAAGTGGTAGTGAAATTCATTTCCTCAAAAAAAAAAAAAAAAAAAAAAAAAAAAAAAAAAAAAAAGTGGTACTGTTATAAGTCAAAAAATCCTGCTTTTTAATTTTTGGATAATATAAATAAGAGGCATTACAAATGGCTAACGACAAGCCGCATTTGGGGTGCCTAACAAGGGTGAGAATTTCACTTCGCTTGCAAATTTAGAAATGCCTCATTGGGCTTTCTGATAATTCCAGTTAATACACTTTCACTTATATTGGTTCTCGTAAATTTCTCTCCCTTTTGCACGTGAATTCATATTTGACAAGACAAGAAAGAATAGAGCCCACATACACTACCTTTTTCACACTTCCTATCTCTCTATTCCATGTACCTTTATTATTTTTTAATAGTTGTTAGGCAAGGGTTGTGTACTTGTGTGCCTCACAACCCTTCATTTGCACTTCCTCGTATAAGTAATGACTTGACCCACTTGGCCTTTTATTGTATTTTTTAAGGTAGAGGGCTAAAATTTGAAGATTGGGATTTTGAGAGATCTCCTTAAACCTCTGTTACTATATAAGATTTTCATTTTCATGTTACGTACTTACGTGCACCTAATTATCCTATTCAAACCCTATAATGTAATATTGTCTCAAACTCTTTTCATACTCTCCTCTCTCTCCTTAATTTATGTTGGTACATTAATTATAAGAAAAACAACTTTTCCTCTCCTTAAACTTGTGCTGCAGGGTTAAACAAGGGTAAGGGGGGCTTTGTACATAAATGTGAAGACACTACATAGCCGGGCTTTGTTCACCGGAGGAGGGCGAGATCACTTCAAACCATTATAAAGAATAAAGAAAAGCTTCAGCACTAAAAAGGGGTTGAACTAGTTTTAACTTCAGAACATTACATTCACTACTGACCCAATCGATGAAACGAGGAGAGAAATCTTAATTCATCTTGAACAAAAAGCACAAGGCTATATGATCAAATTCAAACATATATGCTACAAAGATTGTTGAGCAGCCTTTAGTAGAATTAAGGGCAGTAAATTTGCACAAAACCTGTAAGACGATTGGAAGCCTTGAGGACAGTATGTTTGCTCAGAAATCTCTCCAAGACAGAAATAGAAACAACGAAGTTTCTTCCTAGGAAAAACAAGTCGTGGTGGCAACCACATACAATGCAAACAAGGGTGAGATCAGATACAATGCAAACAAGGGTGAGATCAGCTCCATTTTTATCACTCGGCATGAACTTTTCGCATCCATTTACTGCATACTCTTTAGCGTTAGAAGCAAGTTATATTTTGGCAGTCCACATCAATCAAACACCAAACTAGAAAGGCATAATCAGTTGAGTTGCTGACTACCAACATCAACATCATTTGTGTATTATCTTATCTTCCAACTAATATGCGAAAACACAACGAAAGCAGTTTGACAAATTGGCACAACAGAACTGAAAAAATGCTCTTTGGTGCTTTGTGCCTAAACCATTAAACTTATATGCTTCATGGACTAATTAAGTACTTTCTAAATTTTGAATATTTCAACAAATCCTCCAACTAAAGGATTTTAGATATAGAGATTTAAATCCTAGAAAGATAATACGGCGTACAGGAGTACTACATAAAACTCATCTTTGCTGGCCGACTGGCCATAGAGGTAATTACTATTGTAAGAAAAAGTAATTGGCTTAGCTCAATACCTAAATATCGTGGATCCGCCACTATAATCCTTAAGCAAATGAATTTTTGTAAAAACTGATGAGTTGGTAGAGTGTAGCCTAACCCACGGATTTAATGAAGTTTCCAAACATCGTACAGATGATTCCCGAATCTATATATAGATTTATCACAGATGACAGATGATTCCTGAATCTACATCAGAATTATCACAGAAAACTATATCATGCACATGGCATCTTATAACGCAAACAAGAAAAGGATTTTTTTAAAAAATATCTTCTGCTGTTTGCTGGACCAATGTCTCCGGAAAAATTACTTCCACAAATATATTACTATTTAGGGTAAGGACTGTCTAAAATTGTATGTTAAAAACTCAAATGGACTTATCATTACGGAAACTGGCAGACATTTAAACATTACATGCAATTAGTCACATAACCAAAGAAAAATCCTACAGTACAAGTCAAGCCTAGTTTCAAAATGCGCTTTATGAAGGAAAAAATTAAAAAATTTAATTGACAAGAGAGAAAAAAAATTATCTCAGTTTCCGCCTGAAGAATCCCTCACCATAATGACCCAGAATACTGAGAATCATGAAGTACTTATGTTGTTGCCAAGAAAAGGCTAATTTTATAATCATGGAGCGGTAGTAAACATTAAACAAAGTTAGAAAGATTACCTTTGCATTCAGTAATGCCTGGATTAATGCGTATATTTCTCCCAGCAGCTTGAATGGACACGGCCTTATATCCTGCAGTCAATATATACCTCATTTAAGGGAAAAAAAATGAGCAGAAAGGTTCTCATTCCTGTGTAATATATGTGGAAATTTCAACATGAACCTTGATACAATACGTGCATGTTAATGGAACTAAGTTCATGAAGTAACCCACCTGGTGGTTTAGAGCTTAGTTCGGTAGGTTCTGCAATATGCCTGCACGATCCTTTATGCACACTTTTTGCCAATTACTTCTCACTGTATCTGTTTTATTAATCATAAACATGTGACATGTAACTGGAGCTAGGATAACTCATGACTCAACAGTATGGACAGTTTCACCATTATATTGAAAAACAATCCTTGTACTAATAACAATGTAAACCATCATAAGTGTACCAGAACTAGAAAACCATAGCTGTAACAACCTAAGAGAGTGACAGTATCAAGCTAAAAAAAGTGAGTGCAAAATGTTAGGACAAGTAATATTCAGAAATCAGAATACCATGTTTGTAGAACTGTTTGACCTTCCATCATCCAATAAAACCTACAGAACCAGCAACTTCCGAATTATACAATTCCAACCAAGATGAAAAGTCACACAACTTTCCAATCATGACACATTAATAGTCATCATCTTCCATAGCATTCAAGTAAATCACTCACGAAGCAAGCACGTGTACAAAAAGGCATATACATTGAGAAAACAGATTGTACATGCTTGCAATGGATTGCTGAAGCTACAAGCCCTGGAGTAGCACATGTATCAAAAGGCATATACTAAGCAAGCACCCGCATTGGAATGATATCAAGATCGGACACAGTAGTTCATGAGACTGAAATCAAGATGTCTTGAACTGAAAAACTTTAACAGGACAGAGGCTGATCAATCTGAAAAATGATTCTCTTTAATTCTTTATCAGTGCAAAATCCTTTATATATTAATACAGACTAATGTAAAGGTTGCCTGAACACCACACTTTGATCAAACCAAAAACAAGCTGGTTTTGAAGAATGTGACAGCTAAACAACACTATAGTAGAACACAACTTTACAGCATGTCTTATGTATAGAGTTGACAAGGGAGCTAAAAATGAAGAAAACTTCAAATTGATTTTGCACCAAAAGCATGAGTTTTTTTTCGCTTGCTTCTTCCTCAATCCGAACCACAATGAAACTGAATTACACCAAACACGAAAATATTCAACACGAACAAGCCTTTCTGCAAACATTGAGACCGAAACACACACAAATAAAGAAAAAAAAAATCATAATCTTGTAGTAAGAGGAGGGAATCAGAACAGATAGTAATAACATCAAACTCTTGGAATAATGAAAAAATGAGCAGCATATAAACAATAAACACTATAATATAAACAAATATCATGAGCTTATATTAAAAGATAATTAAGAAAGATAGTTCTTTTACCACTGTAACCATGACCAACTGTATGTATGTAGTTCTTACAACTTATTAGCATCAACTTTATTTAAAAACAAACACCTCTGTGCTATTCAACTTTTCTATTGAGTATATTCATGAATCAAAGAGTACAACCACAATCTATTTCTTGATCTTTCGAGCCTTCCTCGGACCGGGAACTTCCATCCTACCAACAGAACATCCACACCTAGCGCGAAACACAAGAACAGCCCTTCCATTCGGGGGTGCAATCTTCTTAAGCTCAGTTTCCAATTCGCGATGATGATCACGGGGCAATTCAAACAAACCCCTGTTAACACCATCCTTTGCCATTGAATTCGAGTTCTTTACACATTCCTCAGTCTCAAGCTGTATATCAAATTCAGCAGCCTTCCAAAGACCACGACAACCCGAATTCCCACACTTTCGAGTCGTGCACATCACAATCCCCCAAGCAGCCATTCCTACGCACACCATACTAAGCGCCAATGACCCATAAATAACAGGATTCTCATATATCTCATCTTTCGGAATTGAACAAACTAAAGCACCAATCTCAGCAACTTTCATATATGTAAAACTAACATAGGGAAACAGCAAAAACCCTATTGCCCCAATTGCAGAAATCAACATAATCATATCAAGAACAGCAAAACGAGATTCACAACAACTAGAAGAATTCTGATGATTAGATGAATTGGGTATTTTTCGATTCTTCGAAAACTGATTGCTTTGCTTTGATTTCATGTATGTATCAGTAAGACTCATTGAAACTGTCATCGCACTAGATTGATCAACAGAAGAATTTTGATATACCATCTGAAAAACTCAATCCAATTCAACCCCAGATGATCAAATTCTCACAGAAACTAAAATTAATCATAAACCCAGAAGTTCATCCCCAAATTGGATCAAAACCCACCAATTTAAACTCAGAATCAGATCAAAAATTGATAGAACAAGTGATTGGGTCAAGTGCACCTGAATTAATCGAACCCCAGAAAAATTGAACCTTCAATTACCCACTATTGACAAAATACAGATAAATTAGTGACTCAATCTATAATCAACCGAATACAAATTCAATCAAGATGATCAATTCATTCAATTGGATACTGTAGCCGGCTTATTTGAGGGGTTTTTCAAAGGAAGAAGAAAGAGAAAAGAGACGGCAAAATAAAGGGGTGAAATGAGAGTAATGGTGATCACATCTATGTGAAAGTTTATTTGGTTTTTATATTTTTTTTTTTTTTTTTTTTTTTTTTGGTTTGTGATTGCGAAAGAGTCATACATACTGATACACGCCAAGTTGCCAAGTGCATATTGGCCTATTATTTGACGATGATGATGTTACCAATTTAGCCCGATTAACGCGTATGTGGTCTTCTTAATACGAGCTAGTAGTGAATAAAAGTCCACATATGTCCCTCCATTTCATATTTTAAGCTCTTGTCGAATCGCTTATATTTCTACTTTCTTGAGAAGTCTGTGCCAATAACAGCTCTTGTCAAATATGACATTCACGAGTGATATTATTAGAACTTTTAACCTCATGTTGGTACAAGAGTAACAAGATTATTGATGCTTTTATACCTTGTTTCGAGGTTTTATCAACATTAGGTATGAAAATACCAATGACCACTTGTTATTTTCATATTTGACAAGTGTTGTTATTGATTTAAAATCTCTTCTACTTTTTTTCATTTTTAACTCATTTAGAATTTACTGTTTTAAGAAAGAGAGATTTTAGGCATAAATATTTTTTTGATAAATTGATGAAAATGTATATTGATGTGGAATTTTGTTTGTAGTTATAAAATATTGATTATAACAATGCATTGTTGAAGATATTGATTTCAAATTTGCGTATTGAAATTGAACAAAAAGACAACTGGAAGAAAGATAAGGGAAATGGAGAGGGTAATATGTATATAATGCGCAAAAAAGCTACTACGTTTGTTTCTTTTAACTCTTTACTTTAGTCATTAGTTAATAAAAATACGCACTATATGCAATATACACAGTATTCCTTTATTATATGATATATGCACAAAAAATTGATCAACATCACGTAGAATCCAAACATGGCTAAGACAAGTCCAGCCTCATGCTCCTTGCAAATTATGAACCTCCAACTCAACAAAACTAGGATGGATCTGCTTTGATCCCCCACCAGAACAACAGAGTATGTGGACCTCTTTTTCCGTTGTGGGTCTAGTCCAAGTGTTAATAAACTATGTTATTTTGGTCCATAACTATGAACACCTTATATTTCTTAGCAAGTTGATTACTTGTTTGGTTTATTTCCAATTAGGGCTTATTCTGTGGCTTGCTTAGTAAGCCTTGATGAAAGTGATTCTTGTTGAGGAGAAGACAACAATATATAAGTGAGAGTGGTATGTAGTAGAACAAGGGTTTGAGAAGCTTCTCCAGTTTTGGTTTTTTAGGGATAGAGTTCAGAAAATTGTTCGTTGCCAAAAATTTCACTATTGGATGACTGAGATCATGCTGAAGCTTTAGTAGCTTGTTGAGGACACTTAGGGCATTTATTTGGACGACAGTTAGATCGTTGTTTGAAGCTCAAGTTTGTTGAATTATTTAGAGAATGGTAGACTAATTTCATGTTATTCAATTAATTTACTTAGGTTAAGGTGTTGTATTATTAATTAAATAAGTAATTAAAGCAAATAATCATAATTGATTGTTGTCTTCGGTTTTAACCGTATGGTTTGGATGTACAATGCATTGTGTCATTTGGCTTGTATGGCCAAACAATACTAAGTGACGGTTGTGGCCAAACAATACTAATAAGTGACAGTTGCATGTGGCAGTAAGTTTCATTGCATTGTTTGGCTTTGGTATTATGCTTTATATATATGTTTAATAACATATGATGAGAGTTTTTCAAGAGATAAGTCATTTTTATTATTTTTCTTCTTGAATACTATTGCAAGTCACAATTATCATCATCATAATTCCTTAAAGTTTGTTTTACTTTAGATCACAAATATACTACACATAATTGTGATTGTTCTTCATTGTATCTCCTAAGTGATTTCGTGATACCTAGGTTGTAGTTTAAGGGTCGAAATATTACTTTTGGGAAAGTGATTCCGTTCACGCCTCGAAGGTTATTATTGTTTAATTCCGATTTCTTCTTTGTGTCACTTGTATTTTTAGTATTAACCCCAACAAAGTTCACCTAGAATCGTTGCTACACGGAAACTTGTGTTTTAGTAATCTCTTCACTTTCGCTCTTCTAGTAGCTTGTTGAGGACACATAGGCAATTTATTTGGATGACAGTTAGATCGTTGTTTGACGCTCAAGTTCACCTAGAATCGTTGCTACACGGAAACTTACGTTTTAGTAATCTCTTCACTTTCGCTCTTCTACTTTGATCATCTCTTAATGTATGTACTTGTTGGTAGGTTTGTGATAGGCGTGTCGCGTACCTAACAAAAATAACCTAACTATTCCTCCTAACTATGTAGTCGGGCAAGTAAGGGTCGAATCCCAAGAGACTAAGGTTCACCTAAATAATCTAGACTCAAGTAATCACCAAGCAAGAATCAATCAATGGTGGAATAAACTAAGAGCTAATGTATGGAAAACTAGAATAAATCAAAAGAATATAATAAATCAATAGGCTAAAACATCCAAGATCAAGTACCACCACAATTACGATCGATGAAATTATTTATCTACCCGGCCCTAACATACAATTCCAATTAACATGGGGAAAAGTAAATCCTAATCAATACCAAGGACCTCTCTCGAGTATCAATGGCTTTCCTAACATACAATCAAGCCTATTCTCATGGAATCATGCAAATTAGAGACATTAAACACTTTACTTCACTTCCCAATTATCATTTCAACTACTCTCGTGATGAATTTCAAACCCTAAATTAATTTACTCAATTCCGTTAAAACCCAACTCTCGTTGTGATTGAAAATATGGAATAATAACAATACTAATTATCTCTAATCTAGTATTGGCATAATCACAATCAAATTAGCATAAATAATCGCAATTGTCATTAGAGAATTTAAAGAATCAATTCATGCATCAATCACAATTGGGCTACCCTAGATCTTGGAATAAAACTACTCACACATATTAAAATAAACAATAACAAAAATAATCAAAGAAAACATAATTAAGAAATAAGTGATGAAAAGAAAATACCAAATCTTGAAATAAATAGAGACTGCAAAAGTAGAATCTTGAATCTTGAATTACAAGAGCAACGTAAGAGTTTTTAGAGAGAACTAGGTCTAAAAAGAAAAATACTAGATTGTGAAATATAATAAAGTTTGGGGTATTTATACTCCCAAAAAGATAAGAAAACGCAAGAAAGTTTAGCGCGTAATCTTCTAAAGAGGCACGGACGTGCCTACAAGAGGCACGGACGTGCCTAATTTCGAGTAAGGTTTTTCTTGTCTTCTAGACTCCAGGCACGGACGTGCCTAGATAAGGCACGGACGTGCCTCATATGCAAATTCGAAGTCAGCAGGTGCACGGATGTGCCTATATGAGGCACGGACGTGCCTCACTTCCAGAGAGTTTTCTTCAGTTTCTGAGGCCCAGGCACGGACGTGCCTAAACTGGGCACGGACGTGCCTAGCTTCCAGATTACTTCTTCTTTCTTTCTTCAATAATACATGGGCGTGCCTCTCTTAAACATGGTCGTGCTTGACTCCAAAAAGGCCTAAATGACTCGTTCTTCGACCAACGAGCTTCGTGAAAGTCCATGGGCCTCGGTTTAGTCTCATAACTTCATAAAAATCTCCATAATTGCTTCGTTAATCCTGAAATACATCAAAAACAACAAAACTACCCATAAAAGCACCGAATCATCGAAACTAAACCAAATCAAACCAAAATGGACTAAAATACTAAGCAAGACTAATAAAAACAACTAAAAAGAAGCTAACAATTATGCACAAAACACGGCTTATCAGTTTGTGAACCTTTGTAAACTTAAATGAGTTTATTTTATCCTTAATTATCAATAAGAGAAGTATAGGATAGATTCGTCAAACAGTCTCATTGTTTTTACTCTTCACATTGAAACAAGTTTTCAGGTATAATTTGTGTGTGTTCTTTGCAATTTAATACTCCTATAATTGTTGTTGTTATAATGCATTTTTTTTTTTTAGTTGGTGATTTGTTGTTAATTGGGTTGATTGGATTGAGTAGATGGGATTATTTGGGCGGATTGAATTGAGTGTGTGACAATGCAGGTGCAAGCCACGCCGGACTAAGATTTGGACAATGCAAGTTTTTACTTATCTTATACGTCGTAAAATTAAACCAAGCTCAGTAGGTTTTTCAAGCTGAGCCAAAAGTTAACTAAAAACTTGTCTTAGACCTACAAAAATTTTTTAAAAAATTCAGAGGAAGCCTAAGCTTGGATTTGGGTTGAATTTTGTTTATAAAGCCCATCAAAGTGAGCCAGGATGGGGTCATTTTGATCCCCTCTATTTTTTAATTTTTTTTAACAAGATGATCCCCTCCACTTTTATAGTTTCATCGGCTTTTTCACTAAATACCCCTGAATTTTAACTTTATTTACTTAATACCCACGAGATTTTCAAATTCGCCATATACCATTCAATTATTCATAAAAATGTCACAACATGCCATTTTCATTAACTCTGTTAGTCATTAACGTTAATCTTTCCACGTGGAAGCTTGTAATTGGTTATTGTTTACATTATTTGTTTAATTAACTTAAAAAAATTATTAAAACCTCTTTTTTTAAAAAGAAAAATTCTCCACTAGTCAGCCACCGTCGCATCCAGCCTAACCTAACCCCCACACCCGGCAGGCCGGTGCTCAACCAAAACAACCTTCACACCGCTGCACACTAAGCAACCACTTTAACCCACAAACCCCACGCTCCACCAATTCAACGCACAAATCCGTTCAGTGGACACAATAAATTACCAGCCGTACCTCGCAAAACTAGCAGCCGCCCCTCCAAAAATTAAAACCATTGTTCGCCAAAACGACCCCCTCGCTTATTCACCGGCCCTCTCTCCCTTGTTCGGCGGTCCCCAAAACCCCATTTGAAACAACCCAGAAAACCAAACTCGTTTTTTGGGTTGTTTAAAAACCTAAACGAGTTTGGTTTTAGAGGTGGTTTCAGGTGGGGTTAAGGTTTTAGGGGCCGGTGGAAAAAAAGAGGGTGTTGTTTCGAGGAAGGAGGGCCATTTTTGTGGTTGGTTGGGGGGGGGGGATTGGTTGGAGGGGGGATGGGCGTCGGCCTGCCGGGAATTGGGCCAGCTAGGCGCCGGTCAACCGGAGGTGAGGGTTAGGCTAGGCTAGGAGCGACGGTGGTTGGGTTGGTAGTGTTTATTTTTATTTTTTAATTTTTTAAAATAATTTTTAAAATTTTTTTTAATTAATTATTTAAATAATAAATAACATTAACTAAGAACCAATCAAAAACTGCCACGTGACAGAACTAACCTTAATGACTAACGATGTTAACGACGTTAGTCATTAAGGGCATATTATGATATTTTCGTGAAATTGAATGGTATGCGGCAAATTTGAAAAATATCATGGGTATTTAATGATTAAAGTTAAAATTCAAAGGTTATTGGTGAAAAAACCGTAGTTTCATTATCCCTCGAAACACACAACACACTAGAAAAAATAACCAAGAAAATTTACATTTTACGAGACGTTTGGTTGGAGGGATGGAAATAAGAGGGATAAGAAGGGAGGATAAAGATAGGAGATTGATAGGTGAGACAAGTATAAATAATATTTATTTCAAGTTTGGTAAGTATGGGAAACAAATTAGGGATAAGTAATAAATTTATAACAATAATCTTACTAATTTCTACCCTTTCTCCTTACCCTTTCAATTTCATTAAGGATAATTTGATCTTTTAATACCCATTTCTAATCCCTTCTCTTTATACCACCCCTTAATTATAGAAATGAAAGGATAAGTGAGTGTTTTTATTCCTATTCTTAACCCCCTTCTAATCTCCATCCCTGTAAACAAACACTACATTTCTTATCTCTATTTTTAATCTTTATCCCACCCCTTTTATCCCCTAAAACAAACACGTAGAGGTCTCTGACTTTCTGTATCATAGGAAAGACCAAAAGCGGCTAAAACACACACCAAAAAAGGGTGGGTCTCAGATTTCCTCGCTTCCGTAAATTAGGCATTTTAGATTCTTGCACTTTTTCTCCCTTTTCTTCTTTCTTTCTCTTTCTTTCCTAAGTTGCGGAAAGTCAAAGAATAATACTTCGTAATTTATAAATTACAACCAAAAAGCTTCAAAAACAAATTTAACAATGGCGGAAACAAAAGACCCTGCAATCAAGTTGTTTGGTAAGACTATTCCATTGCAGGAGATTCCCTTGAAATCCCCAAAAAAGTGGTCACGAAAAACTGAAGTTCACCCTCATGACGTTGATAACGACGACGACGAAGGAGATGATGATGAAATTGATACAAAGGATATGGACGAAAATAGTATTCCAAGTGACAGAGAAATTGACAAGGTAAATTCTTCTGTTCCTTATTTATATAATTTCAATCATGTATAATGTAGCTTATAAAATTTTTGATTTATTAAATTTTCTATATTGTAACCTTCGTAATTTCGTTTTTCTACGTTGTGGCTCAACGTATATCACTTTCCGCATAACCTCAATATACATTTTGTTTCCATAGGGTAACTTTACCGTTAAAAAATTCCGTTAATGGACCCACTCTCCCTTTATTTATATTTTTTTATCGATTTGCGTGTTGGTAAATATTTCGTTAAAGGTTTTGGGGCTATTTTGGACGTCATGGATCCAAATTGAACCCAAATTTCACAAAAAAGTAACATAAATGCCTTGTTTTGCGTATTAAATTTAAACACGTAAATCGAGACATTTGTTAATAAGCAAAACAAGGTACTTTAGTTATTTTTTTGTCAAATCTGAGCTCAATTTGGACCTTTAAGACTAAAATAGCCCCAAAATCTTTAACAGAAGGTTTTCAAACGCGCAAATCGATAAAAAAATATTAATAAATAGAGAGTGGGCCTCACTAACATAATTTTTGACGATAGGATAACGGCAATGTTACGTATGAAAACAAAATGTATATTGGGGTTATAGACTTACAATGTTGAAAGTGATATATTGGGGCATAACATAGAAAAGTGATATATTGAATTTTTAATTTAGTTATGGTTCTTTGTTTGATCAGTTTGAGGGTGGGTGGATTTGAAATTTTTGTCATATTAAATACTTAATTGTACGCGTGTTTGACTAATTATATCTTTAATCACGTACAAGATAAAATATGAAAATTAGATGGATGTCACGACGATTCTAACAAAATGGCACATGTTAATTTTGCTATGTATGTAAGTAACAATAGATGGCAAATTCCCCATGAATAATTAGTGAGTAGAATAAATAAGATGGTAGTTTAGGAATGATTGATTTAAGCATTTTTAATGGGATTAGTCTAATTACATTTATTAATTATATTGATTTGCAAAGTTTCATTTCATATGTTGCTGTTATGTTTATCGTTTTCAATATTTATAGCTTACATTAGTATTTGTCCAATTACCGTATATGTACGAGATTTCTTAATGAAATTGGATTTGTATCAGAAAGTGGTTACACTAAATTTCAGTGTGTCATTACGATAGCGATGCTTCGTGAAGAAATATATATGTCAGTGGAATGGAGGTGAAATTAAGCTAATTGAATGAAAATTTCTGACTATGCCTATGTTTGTGAGATCTGAAGTAGCTTTAGTAATCTTGGTATTAAGTTGGCGCTTCAAGTCCTAAGAGTTTATCTATTTTCGGCCTTATAGGTAGAGGATTCAGCTGTGAGTGATGGATTAGTGGTGGTGTTAATTTTTAACATAATTCTGACTAGTTTTCTTTTTGAACACTTTAATCAATGACTAGCATAGGCAAATATTTCATGAGAATTTAGCAAATATTTTATAAATGACCTTGCAGGTATATTAGATAATAATACATAATGAATAACAAACGTTTAAATAGGCTACATAAAGAGGGAGGTATATTAAGTGTTGTTTATATATGGACTATGGAGTATAGATGGGAGTTTTTGTTTTCTTGGTCGTAAATGTTATCAATGTATTGGTGTTATTTGTGGTAGTATGTGATGATCTGTGTTTTTGCACGGGAAATTAATGACATATAGAATTGTAACTTTCATATTCGGGAGGACTAGATGCAATAGTGTGGTGGACACAATAATTTTTATACCTGAAAGAAAATGCTAAGTGGTTATGTGCATAAACCGGGATAAAGCAAGAATGGAAATGATTTTTTAAAATTCTGGAATGAAATGATGATCGTTGATCATATATGTGAGTCAGTAGTTAGTTATTGTAGCCTTTGTAGGTATATTTTTATACGCTGTGGATTTGATTCCTCTTGCATCGATTGTACATCAGATTTTGGGGTTCAAAATGTTGGTATTTACGTCCCAAGATTTCATGAGTCATCTCTGCTAATTCAAAATATGTAGCATTCTGATATACTGGTGAGTGAACCTGGTTTTGTATTTTTATTACATTCTTCCTGATTATATCATGGAAAGACAAATAATTCAAGTTATAGTCTCTCTATAAAATAGACGACCGAGGTTATGTACATTAAACCCCTGATAAAGTAAATGGTTTAGGGAAGTCCTGGAAAAGGCATGCTGTTATCTTTCGACACATTTATAAATTCATTCAAATTCTTGATGAATATTTATCAATGAGTTCATGAGTTAGTCTCAGAAGGTACTAACAGACTGAGAAACATTGAACCTCATATTTGTATCTTTATGCTGGTCATTTTGACTGATAAAGAATTGATATTACTGGAATTTGGTGTTTGATCATCATGATAATCTTTATTTATTGGTCAGTCAAAGCTGATCTATTGCAATAAAGGATACAACTTGATATTATGGTTGATTTTCTAATAGTGAAAACTTTTCTGGCTATTTGATGATTCGAAGGGAGGAGCAGGGGTTTAATCGAGAATTAGCATTGAACATTTCACTACATTTAAAACATAGCTGGTTCTAATGTTTTTTTTTTTTTTTTTTTTTTTTTTTTTCTTAATTTTATTTTTTCATTACATTATCAGATTGACCAAGACGGAAAGACATTTCAAACAGAACAAGTTAGAGTCTCACCTGAAGTTTCAAATAAGAGTACTTGTCAAGCTGTGTCATTAAGATGCACTAATAATCTTGAGGCTTTATCAGGTGCTAAAGAAAAGGCATCAGGTGAATCATTTGCTCCTGAAGAAGAAAAGGCAGAGATGAGTTCGTCCCAAAATACGACTCCAAAGAAACCTGATAAGATACTCCCATGCCCCCGGTGCAATAGTATGGACACAAAGTTCTGTTACTATAATAATTACAACGTCAACCAGCCTCGTCACTTCTGTAAAAACTGTCAAAGATATTGGACAGCTGGTGGTACAATGAGGAATGTGCCTGTTGGTGCTGGGCGTCGCAGAAACAAGAACTCAGTCTCTCATTATTGTCAAGTCACCATTCCAGAAGCACTCCATAATACTCAGCCTGATATTCCTAATGCGTTCCACCCTGCACTACCAACTAATGGCACCGTCCTCAGCTTCAGCTCAGATGTACCCCTTTGTGAGTCGATGGCATCAATCTTAAACCTTGCAGAAAAGACAGAAAATAATTGTTCGCGTAATGGATTTCAAAAGCCAGAGGAGTTAAAAATACCCAATCGTTTCGGAGGCTTGGAACATGGAGGTAACGACTTTGATGGATCAAATTCAAATGATTATGCTAGCAAATCGGCTTTAAATGAGTCAGCAGCTCCTTATAGCCTTCCCTTCCCTCAAATCCCATGCTACCTCGGAGCACCTTGGCCTTATCCTTGGAACTCAACTCAATGGAGCTCACCTATAGCAGCTCCACCTTTCTGCCCAAACGGCTTTGCTATTCCTTTTTATCATGCACCTCCGTATTGGGGATACAATGTACCAGGAACATGGAATATTCCTTTGATGGCCCAATTATCTCATGTAAGTCATTCAAACTCGAGCTCTGGCCCAAACTCTCCTTTAGGAAAACATTCAAGAGATGGGACTATGCTAAGTCCAACCAATTCTGAGGAGAAAGAGATGGAAGGGACCGGTTCCGAGAGATCTATTTGGATCCCAAAAACCTTGAGGATTGATGATCCAGGAGAACTAGCAAAAAGCTCAATATGGACAACCCTTGGGAAGAAAAATAGTGAGAAACCAGTAACTATAGGTCGAGGTACTGGTCTTTTCAAGGCATTCCAATCAAAGCGCGATGGGAATGATCCTCACATGGAAACCTCTGCAGTACTGCAAGCAAATCCAGCAGCCTTATCTAGGACACAAAATTTTCAAGAAAACTCAAGATGACCCAATATGCATTTGTTCATTTCTCTCCGTTTCAATGGAAATTGAGGGCTTTCTGTAACAACATTCAACTTTCAGCCTAAATCTAATCGTCGAAAATTTACTTGACAGCCTTACAAGTGCAATTTCAGAACAGACTTAAAGACAAGTAAGCCTCTTAATTCTTTTTCCGAACTGGCTCTTTATATATAACAAGCTAAGCACTGAACCATTCCGCAAGCTGAGACTGAAGAGATTTGATTCATTCTTCTCCTTTGATATATTCTCCTCATGGCTGTCAGTAATAGCATATGCTGGTGCTGCTATAGATTCGCTTTCGATTTTTCTCGAGATTTCATTAAATGTATATATATACAGTTGCATAAGTGAGTGAAGTAGATGTTTTTGGCATGATACCAGGTTGTACATAAATAAGTAGCTGGAATGAATGTTAGAATGGAGTTTGTTGTAGTGTGACAAAAATCATCTTGCACCAAAAACTTTAGTCAATCATGGTTTTTGTTTAGTCGAACTCTGTGATTACGAGGAAGGTTTTGCCTTGTTAAAGAACAAATTCTTTATAAAATTAGTTTTTTTTTTTTTTTTTTTTTTTTTTTTTTTGAGGGCTTATAAGATTCACCTCATGGTACTCCACGCCCAATAAAACGGGGTAAAAACTCAATAAACAAAATGAAAGAGTGTAAAAGCAGAACCTTAAATTTAACAAAATAACAATTTAACATAAACAAGTAACACACTAACATGAAACTAACTCATTTATAAAATTCATTTCATGAAATTAAAATTTTTCTCTCCGTTTTCACTCTTCTTTGTTTTCTCTCTATTTCAAACTCTGTACTGCTACAACTCCATTAAAATTCTTCAATGGCTTTGAGGATAGCTGATGGCATTCACCACCTTTTGTTGTAGCTTCTTGGAGAAGTTTTTTTTTTTTTTTTTTTTTTTTTTTTTTTTTTTTTTTTTTTTTTGACAAAAGAGAACTTCATAAATAAAAGCAGAATTACAACCTAAGAGAGCTACGCAACACGCCTAAACAAACCCTCATATAGGGCTTGCTCCATACCATTAGAGGAAGAACAAAGAGAACAAAATAATGAAAAAGTCTTGCAGCATACCAATAGCTGCGGAGCCTCAACAACCAAGAGGATCGTACCACATCCATACTGCGGACCAAGAGATGCCAAATTAACTGAAATAGTCGAGATGGACCAAGAGAATGCAAGACATAATCATTGAAGAGAACCAAAACTGGAACTGACGACCTCGAAGGAGATTCATGATGGAAGTTGTTGGGAGACGGAAAAACCAAAAATTGAATGTACCTAGTTGCTAAAGAACAGACCTTTGACACCATTCCACTCCTAGGGGTTGAAAAACAAACCCTGCATCCTAGGAGTCTGGGAACAAAACCAATACCAATAGAGTCATATTCTTTAACGACTCTACCATGAGAAATCATGCATCCAAATGCAAGCTCTCTCCTTGCAACTCTACCAATAGAGAATGCAAGAAAATGGAGGACTTTGCTTATCCTAAACGCTAAAGATAGGAAGCCTCCTTCAAGATTTTGATTAAAGCGATGACTAACTTTATCATCACTAAAACTAACAAAGGAATTATAGCAATTGTATGAATGCCCATATCATCCCACAACCAAGCAACAAGAACAACAAACAAAACTCTTTACTCAAAACCACTCTCTCCTGCAAACTCCAACTGTAGGGAAAACCACCCACCTTGCATAAATAACTCCACCCCCTGGAGAACTGTGTTAACTACGGGGGAACATATTCACACCCCGACAAGGCTACCAGTAGGACCATCACGCCAACAAACAAGGGAAACCTTACAACCCTTAAAACCGACCAACAAGGCTCCAAAGACAACGGCAACAATTTGTTAACTTCCAAAACTAGAACTATCTATGGAACTCTAACTCATCACCAAGCATAGATAGAGAATTATTTAAAAAAACCAAATCAACTAAACATGCAACTTATACAAGAACAACATGACTAAACTAAGGCAAATCAAGAACAACTAAAAGAAATCAAGCACACAAACATACGTGAGACAACAGGAAAAGGCAACGAGATCCCGAACCTAACACCAAGAACAATCGTCAAGGGCAATGCAATAAGAACCACTCACTAAACAACAACGCAACATTGTACTTTGTTTTCTAGTTGAACGAAGTACAATATTTTCTACTGGCCCATAATGTTACCGTAAGAAAACCCTAGCCTCCTCTGCTTCTCTTCTCTCTCCTAAATTACTTTAGCCTCCATTGTTAATTTTGAAGGGCTTTAATTGGATTTTTTACCGATGAAAAGCCCCAATCATTGTTTCTTATAAGGTTTTTTTTTTCTATGTTATAATATTGTCTCCCTTAAAATAAAAGGTTTTATCTCCTTCGAAACACAAGGTTTTTTCGATCTTTTTCGAAAGATAAGGTTTTTCGAACTTCTTTCGAAAGATAAGGTTTTTCGAACTTCTTTCGAAAGACAAGGTTTTATTTGCGTTTGATATAGTATCAAGTTGAGTGGAGCTACGATTGATTGTTGTTCGGATGTGGGTTACAAAATCATCATAAGAATTTTCTTTCGCACAAAATTATGAAGCGACGACGGATCCACTCAAAAAGTTGTATGAGACAACGAGTCGAGAATGTCCCGGATTGTTATATATATATATGTATTTGGATTCTTAGCCCTTCCCCGATTAAATCATGTTTAATTTTGTTAAATTTGTTTGGTAAAATTGTCAGAATCAACCTTTTAAAATGACCCCTTTGTGAAAAAAAGCCTTATAAATTTATTTTTTTGTTACTTCAACCTGATTTTAATTTTTTTTTTTTTTTTTGTCAATGACGACCTAAACCTATTTTCTGGCGTTGACTCTATTTTCCGATGTTGACTACTAGTGTGTGTCGCACGATACGTCTTCTTTTGCTTAATGCACCCCTTTTCCCTCCAAATCACTAGTGTGTGTGGTTCGATATCCTTCAGAACCATGGCTGTTGCATAATTGACAAACCATTCGTCCATTAAATCGATTGGAACCCCTAATTTTCAACAACACCCAATTTTCATAAACAAATTCAATAAATTAAAGAAGGGGAAGCAGAATACCTTGTTCGAATTTGATGAATTGATTGGTTGAAGACTTCAAATCGCAGACTCGGTTAGCTTTAAGGAGTAATTAAGCCTCAAAACTTTGTTCAATTGAACAAAAATGAGGAGTGATAGCAGGGGTTTTAATTAGAGTGATTTGGAGAGAAATGGGGTGCATTAAGCAAAAGAAGAGGTCACGTGCCACCCACACTAGTAGTCAACACCAAAAAATAATGGGTCAATGCCGAAAAGTAGATTTTGGCTGTCTTTTTGACAAAAATAATATATATATGTGTACATATGTATATGTATATGTATATATATATATATATATATATATAAACAGGTCTGAAGTAACAATTTTTTTTTATAAGTTTGTTTTCATAAAGTGGTCGCTTTAAAAGGTTGTTTCTGATAAATTTTTCAATCTGTTTTCATTATAATCAATTGTCAATTTTAGATGTCATATGACTTTAATTAATGGAACATAGTGTCTTTTAGGACTTTTAAAAAAAAAAAAAAAAAGAAAGTACAATATTTTATGTATTATTTTTGTTTATTTTTTTTCGTAATTTTCTTTTTCTTTAGCTTATAATCTACTCTTGAGAAGAAGATGCTTATAGGTACAACACCACCTTTCATTGTCATCACTTTTATCGTCAAACTTTCCTAAGTAACCCGTAAAGTGTCTTGTTAATCAAAGATTTATTGTAGCCATGCATGGTAATGATGTAGCAAGAGGTAATAATAATTTCTGTTTAGAAATTCCTGCAAAATATATTAGCATAAACAACATTGTTTCTATATATCATGTAATTATTAATAGCTAGAACGAAGACTAGCTACTAATTTGTGTACACTCATGTCATGCCATTATTTAAAAAAAAAAAATTATACTAAATATTACCTAAACCATAATTTATTTGCATGAAAATTCATTTTATTTCCAGATTTCTTTTCCATTTGTCATTTTCTCTCTTCTCAAATGTTTATTTTCTCTTTCTTCATTTTTCACTTTCTCTCTCTTTAATCCTCTCTCTCTCTCTTTTAACTTATACTTTCTACCCAAATTGAAGAATTTATGCGTAAATCACCGTAAATTTATAGAGTTTAAGATAAAAGAATTAAATTATACTTGAATTCAAGCGTGAAAGTCGTTTTGCAAGCTCCAAATTAATTTGTGGATGGCAAGTGAAATACGTTTAAATTAAAAAAAATTAATTCATTATAATTTTGAGATTAATTATATACTGAAAAAAAGTAAGTGTTGAAATGTGTAAATTCAAAAGTTTATTAACTTCATTGTAATTTTGAGCATTAAATTATTTGGTAATTTCAAATCATGTGAGAACCAAGGTGAATAATGAGAATTAGGAACTGATCTGGATCGTCCATCGCATTTCATCAAACGGTCAACAATTCACCCGCCTCATTAATGACATTTTCGTAATTACGCAACCTTTCAAACTTTTTTACCGGTTTATTCACTTTTAAAGCAATTTCAATTATTTCAATTACTCTTTGACTAATTTTATTTACTTTTACTAACTTTTCATTAACTTTTAACAGTAAATTAATGAAATTTTTTCCAAAACAATTCTTTCATCTTTGAGATTGAAAATTTTATTATTAAAGTAGCTACTTGATGATAAAGTAAAATAGTTTATTACTTTAATAATATTTGGCTTTACAATTTTAACCTATGAATTTGGTTTGCAATTCTCATTTTAGAATTATTCTCATTGATTTTGTTAGTTACAAACACCAGCGTTTATATCTAATTTTAAAGTGAAAGTTCAATTTTCATTTGAGAGTATATGTTTATGGATGAAATTATGATGATTATTTTTTTATATATGTTCGTATTGTGTATATCTAATATTAGTTTTTATTAATGTTCAATTATGAAACATTAATGTTCATCTATAATTAGTTTTATGTTCGTAAATGTTCTTTTTTCTTATTTATTTATAACATGTTCATATCATATATTGATTAAAAGACCCGTATCCATAAGCGGTGTGAAACTAAAAGAGTTCATAGTATGTTTTGAATTGTAGAAATTTATTTTTTCTCAAAAGATCGTATATCTATGTGCTTATCCTGTGACATGTAAATGGAATTAACTACAAGCTAAGGTATTCCCTATGGTGTAATGATTTATGGAGATAAACTTGTGACTTGCGAGTGCATCGGTGTAGACTACCACTTATTGGCTCAATTCTTTAAAATGATACTATTGCTGATAGAATTCCATTTAATAATGAGAATGGGCATTGAACCCTTTTTTTTTCTTTCTTTTTTTTTTCTTTCTTTCTTTCTGTGCTTCATGCTATGATTAATGGTTTATTAGAAAGGCCGTAAAAAGAAGTTATATGCATTCACAAGCAAAATAAAAGATGATTATTTTACATCCCATTCATCACCACTTCTAACTTCTTTCTCACGAACAAACAATATTGGAAGGTACTTTATAATGCAAGAATGAAGCCTTGATATTCATTTCAATTTGTTCTTTGTTTCTTTTTTCATGTTTAAGTTAACACAAGACAATATGTTTGTTTTATTTATACAAGTCAACTATTGTCAAATGCTGGTACTTCGATGGACAAATAGTTAGTATATTGACAATATGTTTATTTTTAAAATATAAAGGTCATCTGAAGAGGTTGATGTGCAGCGAGATCCTATGATTCCTATCTAGGCGAGATTATGTGAGAAGACAAAAAAGTATGTTTATATTGTCTCTCTTACTAAATTCTTCCTCACATCCTGATCATTTCCAATTAT